TTAAACTCCACATTCTTATCAAAAACTCTGCACAAAATATCTGTATCAAAATATCAGAAACAGAAAACCAGCTAAAATACTACTACTAATAATAATAATTAAAAACCCCCYGTGGAATGTGGGCACATTCAAAGATTAAAAGTAGAAACCGGCAGAGATGTTACAATAGCAAAAATTGATTAAGCAAGGAAAAACTGGTGTTCTCATCTTACTTCAGTCTGAAATGAGGAGCTGATCTCTTCTGCAACCTTTGTGAGCAGCAGCCTGTGCTCAGGCACCTAAGGTAGGAAAAGTTCCATATGATTTACTGATGTCCTGAAGAGTAACGTTTTGCTGCAAGTACCTGTTTCTTTAATCAAAAACACRTATTTTTCAAACTAGAAAAACACAGGTTTTCTTCTTGAAGCCMTTCCACCACTGAATGTGTGAAGGCAAAAATTAAAGCATGTTTAGCAACTTTGGGCAATAAATCAGAAATGAAGGACAGCATGAGACATAACCATGACACACCGAGAGTGAGTCAGACTCTTTAAGATATATTCTATCAAAACATATAAAGAAGGATTTTTTTTCTAAAAAAAAAAGTAAAGCAATCTATCTAGTCTCAATTTTTGTCCTCAAATGTACTAAACAATTCAGCTTCTGACTCTTCCSTTACAGGGCACGGGCAGGATTTGCACACCCCCATGCGAGAGAGCATTTTTGCAAAGCCTTGAAAACTCTGACTCATTTGAATTGAAAAATTATCCCACAGCACCGGGCTCTCCAGTGATTGTCACATTGCATAAACACAGTTTATGGAGTTTTTTCAAACAATTGCTGGAAAACAACCTAGGAAGCACCCAAGCTCTTGTGGTGAACCTGTCGCTGTCCAGGTGGGTTTCACATCTGCCTTTGGGCTCTTGCTGGTGCTCCTGTGGGTGGGTTTGGCCATGGATAGGCCTTGGAGAACAGACCCCAGCACATTGCACAATAAGRCACTAATAAATATAGAAAATACCCTGTTTTTCTCTCTGGAGGGGCCCACATTAGTCTTTAAATTAATTTCCCTTGTCTTCCCAGTATAACCTCAGTGCTGCAGCTAAAATCTGATGGTATTTCTGGATCAAACTTAATATTTTAAAACAAGGAGTGTCACATCCCAGTTCTTTAATAAAAAACCTCGCTGATATGGATTCTCCAGTCCCTTGTAGCACTTGGGGAAATGTGTGCTCACAGATCCTATTGCAAGGCAGGGACGCAAAAGCTAATCTCTCTCTTCTCTGTTCTTTTTCCTAGTTGCACGGGGAGAAAAATGTGAGAAAATACGTAATTCCAGAGTGCTGTGGCAGCATTAAACTACATTTTCTCACCCCTTTGGTGAGACACCCAAAAAGGTATATTGCCTTTTTGAACTGCAATCTTGCAGAGTGTGTTAAGGTAAGTGGTAAATGACTTAATGGCAGCTTAATATTCTGCACATACCCATAACACACATTTTAGTTGATTTTAATTGATGTAGCTGCTAGCTTTGTTAAACTCCTSCAGGAGAGTAGTTCTCACTGGGAAAGAGCCTCCTAGAAAGTATCAGTTTGCAAAACCACAATAGTTTGAGCAATAATTGTGCAGAAAAGGATTTCTGGATTTCTTTGCAATTGAATAACAGCGTTTTGTTTCACTTTTGTATAACTCAACATCGGGTGCCTAAATTATAGTCAGACTTTCCAAAGAGCTCAAATAAAGAAACACATGGGGTAAATCACTTTTAAGATAAAATGGGGACTGTAAGATTTTAACCAAACAGAACATTTTTATGGCTGTGAGCACATAAAAAGAAAATTATGTAGGAGAAGTCCTGGTGTTACTTAAACAGTAGCTTTCAGCACTCATAAAATATGTGGTGTTATTTCCCACTTATAAATCAGCTGGCTCTGGTCTGTACATCAGCACAAGCTTTAACTGGTTTCTGGCTCCTTACTGGCCTTCACATAACTCCATTTAACCCTGAATGAAATGCTGCTGGCGTGRCACAGAGCCCCAGCCATCACAACTAAAAATGCATATAACCCCAGAAAGAGCACAGAGGCAATGATTGCAATCAGCAAAGAAAATTAAAGGGCAATTAAAAAAAAAAAAATCTGTGTTACTCCATTGGGCCGACAGGCAACCGCACCTTCTGTTTGGGGGTGGGGGGGGATAAAATAAAAAGGTAATCTCCTTGAAAATTAACTTCTAGGTTTTTTTAAGCTTGTAAAAATAGTAGAGGATCCGAAGGTGCGTCTCAGCAGGTTTTGCCTGCCTGTATAGCACTGAGACTTTTTGCGTGATCAAAGAATACATGACAGCGAACGGATCTATGCTTGTAAATATCAAAAGGCTTGATCATGCTAAAAGACTTTATTGAAGTTTCCCACTTTTTAATCAAACCAGAAACAACCACCTCCAGTAGCCATAAAGAAAAAAAAGTCTGCTATGATATGAGAATTAAAGAAAAGTACTAAGTGGGACTTGAGGAGAAGGGGTTTTCTTACCATAATATGAGACTTCCATTAATGTCATGTTTGTTGGCTGAGAGAAAACTACACCCTTATTATTTTACCACAGCACAATATAAAAAGGGTTTGATTATGCCAGTATTAAGTCTGCAGTGGCCCATAAGAAATGGCCATGTTCACATACACAGCCTTTTAAAAGAAAATTAAAAGCATAATAATGAAATGAATACATCACTGACTTGGTTTGTTGTTTTTTTTTTTCTCCTGCTTTATGGCGAAATCCACAGCATCAAAATCTACAACTGGCCTGTGGAGAGGTTTTCTATACTATTTCTGTCACTTAGTATGATAATTTGCACACCCCCCTCCCAAAAAAAAAAAAAAAAGAAGTTAAAAATGCTATTCTGAATGAACACACAGAGCTCTGAATAAAAAGAGCCAATAATTTACAGTAGGATGATAAGAGTGTAATATTGCTTTAATATAACGTATTAATGAAAATTGCCATTGTAAGATAGATAAGACCTAATAATATAAGTCTCATTGTGTTGTGTGAGTTGCAGGCTTTGGTAAGTTATATGTTAGTGCTGTGTGGCTGGCGTGAAGCCTGACACAATTTCGAAGACTCTCGCCGTTTGTGGTGCCACTGGTGTCTGAATTTATTTTCCCAGGCAGGCACTTCCCTGCTCTGTCAGGTATYACTGTGCTCCTCTGCCATCTCCTGCCCGCTGCAGAGTTTATGAAAACATGTTTACATTMTTTTTAATGCAATATAATACATTTATTTTCATTCCATTTTCTACGTAGGGCCAGCTAGATTTTTCTTTTAAAGTCCCTGTGGGTTTTTTTAGTCTTTATTCTTTAACGTACTGACATTTAAAAAATGGGCAATAGGTGATACGGGGAATGGCAGACTAATTTCTTGCCCTTGTTTTATATCAGCGTGGCTCAGCATCACTCTGTAGTGTTCCTGCTGCTTTTGCAAGCATCCTATATTTGCAACGATGAGGASTTGCACTTCTGTTTATTAAATGGCAGCTTGTTTATCTGTGCTAATTACCAGGAAGAAAACTAAACTACTTTCCCCTCYGCGGACCACTATTTATAGTCAGGAAGAGCAGCCCTGCACATATGCAGGGGGTTATTTGTGTGAAGGAGGTTAACGTGCAGTTACAGCAATCTCGTCTGCCAGGAGGGAGGAAATTATCTTCTTGATGTAAGAACATACTGTGGGTTTTAAACCTAAAATGCATTTCAGGGAGTGGGGAGAAAGCTTTTGAGCATATCCATGAGGAAAAAAAAAATATAAGAGATTTTTAACAGCATGGGCTTTGATATTTTCCTATCAATATTTTGCCTGTGTTTTTGGAAAATATTTCTACAGTGTTACTGAAGATGCACAAAACTGCAATTTGTTCTCCAAAAGGTTTAGCAGGCTGCAATAAGAGGAGCCAAGAATGAAACGGGATTTATCCCAGTCCCCTCTTCTCTAGGAAAATCACTCTGAAAGATGACGATTTTTCTACACTAYCCCACAGACACTTCTGGGCTTTGTTTGTGAAAAGCCCAGAAAGYTTTTCTGTGCAAAACCCAATACCAGAAATCTTGCCGTCCATTTTGGATGAAGTTTTCAAAATAATTTGCTGTTCTCTGCGTCTGTTCTGGCACGACTGAGAGTAGTTCCATGATGGCAGAGATGACAAATAAGAAGTATTTGTAATAAATCAGATTTGTTCTGGAAAGTTTATTTTTAGGAGATTATTTCTCCAAGAAGATTATAGAGAGAACTTTATGCCTTTACAGATGGAGCTCTCCTGTGCTCCAGACTATGTGTTTTCAATAAGTATTACAAATACCCTGGTGTTTTAAAGTATACCAACTTCTTTCAACGAACTTCTTTCCCAACCTCTAGTACTTTTCATGGGCCCCGTTTCTTACATCCCAAATAATGCCTGCAGCCTTTAAATCTCAAACCCACAAACCAATATTTACAAGCGTTGATTTGGAGATCGATATTTTCATGCATATTCTAGCACTGAAGGCAGCATGCTGAGGAGGGATAACCCAACTCCATTTGTAATCTCATAATACTTAGTGCCTCAAGTTATGCGCTTTTTACATTCAGAAATGAAAATAAAACTTAAAAAAAATACCCCCAAAACACTGAAAATAAGGTAAATAAATAGATGAATGGAAGAAGACTTTAAATAAGCTATAATTAATTTTTGGAGGCATTTTCTGACTTTGTCAGGTTTAAAGAGAGGCCTTACTTATTTGGAATTACATATTTTACAGAGAAAGAAACCTTAAAWAAGAATAAAATACATTTTCCCCAGGAGGTGATGGCGGTGGGCTGGCCAGCCTTCTAATGTCAACTCCTGTCTGATGGCAACGAAGAGTTCACCTAAAAATGAACAGCACATTTCTAAMCCTGCCCTCTCATCTCTCCCAGTTCAGCTTAGTGGCTGCCATTAGCCATTAAACACGAGAAACAAATGCCTGTATTTTGTTGCAAGAGAGTTAGTTTCATTTCTGACCTGGAAATGACAGCGAAGACACACAAGGAGCAAAAAGTCATGTAACACCAGAAGGAAAACAAACCACGTTAGCTGGGATGCTCAAATTATGCTGCATTAACATACACAAAAGAATTAAAAGAATTAAAAGCCTTCAAGAAAGGGGATGTTTGGTTTGGTTTGTTGTTTGTTTTTTTTTTAAAGCCATGTAGTGTCATTGCTTATTCAACAACAGCCCACTTCTCCTGCAAAGCAGTACGCTGGGTTTGAAAAAAAAAAAACACCCAACCCCACACGGCTGTAGAGAGAGCACATGTTACATCAGACACAGTACCTGATTTTTCACTGCACAGCTTGTCAGCTAGATAGTCTGCCTCTTGGGCGATAAGTGAGAGTATTTCATCTTCATACTCCTCTACGATACTTTCCCACTGTAAGGATGGAAAAAAAAGGAGGATACTCGTACTGTGCTCTTTTTCTTTTTCCTTTTTTTTTTTTTTTTYYTTTAGCTAGGAACAAGCAGGGCGGCTGCGAGGAGCCCTCGGCTCGCTCTGCTCTCCCTGCCCTGCACAGCGTGGGGATGAATGGGGGCTGCCCGAGAATTCATGCTACCAAATATTACTTAAACTTCATGCCCAGCCTCACTGTTGTTTCAAAACCAAATTCATGGATTTGGGAGGGGGGAGAGGAAAACCCCTCCAAAAGGAATTTGTCTCGGTTAGGGACACCCCCCTSCACCCCCGCCCCTTTCAACACGGACACATGGAGGAGGCTCTCGAAATTTAAATAAAACGAGCCCATTTTGTAGTCTGATATTAGTGGTGACGATGTGCCATAAACGCAGCTCCCTGGCCTTGMAGATGCAGCTCTGATTTCAGCGCAGATAGAGCAGAGAGCTGCTGAGCTCCCCCTCACCCCAGCATTTAGGGAGCTGCTGGCAATTCACCTCGGTGCCCCAAAATTCATCTCTACCCACCCTGGGCTGGGGGGTGAGTCCAAAGGGGTGCAGCACCAGCCTGGTGTTTGGCACCTTGTAGGAAGTCAGGGTGCACGTTAAGAGGGAATTCCTGTCTCCAAAACACAGCCTTCAACCCACAAACAAGGGGAAGCCCTGTAACATGGGCAGAGAAAAACCACAGTGAAATAAAATCTGCCTKCTGGAAGTCATACACACACAAATACACACACACTCAAAAAAAGGCCCTTTGCTGTGCTTGGCTGAAAAAAGCAAAGCAATACCTGCCAGGACACACAATAACCGCGAGCTGGCAGTGACACAGGCAGAGCTGTGCCTGTGCTCCTCGCTGGCTCACTTGCCTGCTTTTTTCCACTGCTCAGAAGGCCACGTTCAGCACAACCCCCTGGCTTTTCAGAGCCTTTTTTATGTGGTTGTTGTTTGTTTTTGTTCACTTGCCACAACAATTAAAAAAAAACAAAAACAACCAAACAAAAACAACAAACTCCAAAAGCATTAAAGAAAAATAGATAAAATATAATTTTGAAGAAGGCATTGGCACGAAACCAGGCAGAGCACCTCAGTGTTTTTAAGAATTAGCTGAGAAAAAACCCATCTCTACACCATAAGGCCTAAGGAGAAAAGAAAKATGACATCCTTCCCCTCCTCCCTTAATTTGTCTATAAATATTTGAAACTCCAGTTAGGAATCTGGATTTTAGCCACTTGTACAATTCCCTTATTTCCTGCACATAAATCAGCAGAGATCTTTTTTTTTTCCTAGGAAATGCTAATTTATATTTAATCACTTAGAAAAAAAATCCACTAGTAAAATGTAGTTTGGAACTGTTGAAGTTTAGGAAATTTGTAATGTATAAAGCATCTGGTCTAATCCGTGGGTTACTTCTGCAAGTGATGTGCCTTTTGTAAATGCTTTATTCATATTTATGAAGCCCTAAATAGATCCAAATACATTTCTAAATAAGGTTGTAAAACATCTGACAAAACACAGTGTTATCACGACATACTCAGCCAGTTTCTGTGAGGAGCCAGTATGGACTATGTAAAAATATTGCAAGAATATTAAAACAAGGCACGATCTGCATGAATTTCCTAGTGATGAGAAAGAGTGGGCACGCTGACACAGCTGTGCCTGGAAAATAAAAGGTTACTCGCTTGTCGTGTTGGCCTGCCCCAAATTTTAAAGGTTTATAAGCATCAGACTAAACACTGGGTTTTTTTTTTCCTATAGTCTGCATAGATTTTTCTCCCCTCTCCTAGGAGCAAATCTATCCCATCTCTTTTTCTGTCCCAACAACTCCTTTAAGTTGCTCTCTGACTCTGCTAAAGAAACCTTGTGGAGGAAAAAAAACGGGTTTTTTTTGCTTATTACACCACCAAAACCCCACAGTTCAGACAGATAATGCCCAGTTAGATCGCAGGAAGAGCAAAAAGAGCATCCCACTCGCTATGTAGAACCGTCGACACATTACATTACACACGTAATTAAAAACGTCAGCTCCAGATAAGGCGGCCCTGGAGAACCTGCRTGGGCCCTTCAGCTCACACCCTCCGCACCCCTCGCCCCTCGCCCTCCTCCAAAGCCAGCCTCCCATTTGGAAACCTCCCGGCAGCCCGAAGACACCGCGGCGAAGGGTGACGGCGTTCGGGCCATGAAAGCCCTTGGCGCTCCGGCCACTTGTTTCTCTGGTTGAAGCGGAGTTTGCCAAAGTCCCGGGCTCTCAGTTGTTGCTCTGTCTTTTAGCCGCTGCTCGCCAGCTCAGATGCAGCTGTTTAATACCTCCCAGGGGTTTTGTGAAGAAAATAATAGCTTACAAAACCTAGCTTCTCCCAGGTTCTACTATTTCAGCTTTATTTCCGAACAGCTGGTCCGTGTCTTTGTCCATCCCCTTCCCTCCCGGCCACGGCGAGAATTCGGCAGGAAACCTCAGGCCGCTACCTATGCCCTGAGAGCCACCGCTGCTGCTGGTGGGGGTCAAAGAGCAGCCCTCGCCCTTGGAAACGGGGACAAAAAAAAACCCCAAACTTCGCGCCCCGTCTAGACAGGTCAAGGTGCAAGATGCTCCTYTCCCTGTTGCGTCTTCCGGAAAGGGGCGTGAACCGGAGCCAAGTGCACAGCAAACACCCGCGCCGCATCCCTGCCCCTTTAGAAGACTTCTTTTTTTTTTTTTTTTCCCCCTTCTTCTTTTTCTCTCCACCCTCTGCTGATCAAAGTAGGAAGTTTTCATGACAACCATAGTCAAAGGGCCTGCATCGCAAATGAACTCGATTTCGGCGATGTTGATATATCCCGGCTCCATTGTCTCTTTTCAGACACAGTATGAACCCTTCCGGTCTCAATGATTACATTACAGAAGGACTTTCACATGTGGGCTTCATTTGCACAAAGGGGTTGCCTTGCTTCACCACCATCTGGCCACAAATCAGATAAATAAAGGCAGAAGAATTAAAATTAAAGCTTAGAGGGKTTTTTTCCTCTCTCTCCCCCTTCGTCTTCTTGCACCAGAGCCCATTATGAAATCCCTCCCTCCCCCAGTCACATACAGATGGGGAGTCTACTTTTTATGAAAACTGGGAAGAGCAAAAAAAGTGTCAAAAAAAAAAAAAAAAAAAAATAAAAAAAAAAAAAAAAAAAAAAAAAAAAAAAGTAAAAAAAAAAAAAGGACAAAAAAAAAAAAGAAGGTGGCAGCCTTTTGATCCCAATCCTGTTTTTAGAGCAGCAAAACTTATTTTACAGTAAAGACAGTCTCATACAAAACCATATTTTGCTATTAAAATTCCATCTCATCCACTGGGATGCATTTTTTTTTTTTTCCCAGGAAAACACAATGTTTCACAAACTGGAAAAAAAGCTGGTGGGGGCAGAAGGTGGTGGCAGAAGATTGAAACTTGTGCTCCAAACTCTGCTGCTTCTTCCTCTCGCTGGGACAGGGAGTGTAGAGGCTCCGGCAGCTCAGGCACAGAGGAAGCACTTTCCCCCCAAAACATAAAGAAATATGTGGCAGGGCCTGAAGGTAAAAAATAAAAACACCTGTGAATGTGGAAAGAAGGTTTTACGACAGAAGGTGGGACTCGACTTCACAGTCTAATTTCAGCCCTGGCATCCCTTTTATTGAGGTCAGTGTTGCTCTGGGAAGGACTGGGGTTTTTTTGCAATCTGACTGCTAYAGCAATAAATTGTACTAAATGTTATCCCCTTTCTAAGTTTACATCCAGGACAGTAACTTCAGTAAGTTGATGGGGAAARGCACTTTCTGCGGCTGCATTTTTTTCAAAGAGAGATTCAGTATCTTCAGCAGAAAGGTTTTGCTCTGCAAATTTTGGGAAAAAARRWTTTYCYWWKGSCTCTACTCCAACCAATRTTCAGGTGTGTAGTTGTATCTCCCKCAGCCCTTTCCTGTAGCTTCCTGGCTGGTTGGGAATGTGCTGAGTGTGGCTGAGCCAAAGCCCATGGATGCCATGGGGTACCCTGCCCAAAAACGGGAACTCCCTTCTCCTGAATGTTATCATGTGCAGCACAGCCAAGGACTGACCAGAGAGAGAATCTCTCCAAAATCTGAAAAAAAATAATGAACCCTTAAAATTCATGTAAGGATCCCCACAAATTTACAGAGAGAGTTTTGCTGTGGGAACTTTCTTTTGGATGTACCACTGAGTTTTTGTATATGCACGAGCACTGTGATGTGATGTGGTTCAGGCTTTTATTTAGCATCATATTTAGATTTGGGCTGTATTCCCTTGCCACACTATTGAAAAGTATTGAGAGGTAGCATATACATAGAGAAGATGAAAAGAAGCACAAGAGATTAACTTGCCAACAGTTGGATTTGCAAATATTTTTTGTTTCTGTCTAAAAAATTTATATTGGATGCATGATCTCTGCATAACTTTTTCTTCCCTCATACGGTTGAAGTCACACTTACAATTTGGATAGGAACTACTATTTATATGAGCTTGTTTCTTGAATATCCATGGATGCAGAAGCTGCCAAGACTACCTATTAAYTTCTGGTGTCTATTTTTTGGGTTTTACCAAGGGAAATTTTTGCAGGCATAAATGCAACTTGAATTTAAGCGAAGTACTTTTTTGCTGAGCTCTGCTTTGCCCAGTGTACAGGGCTCCAGGCAGTTGAGAGTGCTCTTTCTGAAAGTRTTTTAATAGTAAGAGAGGAATAAGTATTTGGACAAGTGGTGGAAAACTAAAGCCTTTCTTTCTATACTGTGAAGATTTTGAATAGTACTTGTCAATAAAGCAACTCCTATTGTAATTGTACCGGAGACATGGGCCTCCACCCCGAAAAAGCTGTCTCAGAGATACTAACCTCATTAAAATATGAATGAAAAGGCAGCCATCATTGTAATAGGAGAAAACCATGTACTCAGCAACAAACTTTATCTTCTATCTTGTGCAAAAATATAAATATGATTTTTTATTGCATTTGACAAGGAGATTGATAAATGCACGATTTTTTTCTTCAAGTTTTCACATAAGTCAGAAAATTTGCTCCTTCCCTCCCTGCTTTTTCTACTGAGCATTTCAAAATCGGAAGCACCTTCAAATCATCTGAAATCTTTAAAACGAAGAAAAAGGGGCTTTGTTTCTTTGGGGCATTTTTTGAAAGTTGAAGGAAACTTTTG